TAAAGTTTCTCTCCATACATGAAGAAGCAACACAAGCAGAGACATAGCATGCTCGATATGACTGAATTGCAAGACATTAAGGGAAAAGGAACAAATGGGGGAATCAAAGGGGAAAAATTATCCAGCAAATTGTCATGCTTCTGCATTGCCAAACAACAGGCAACATGAAAACAGGCTAACTCCTACAGCTGTGTCCAGAACAAGGTGTCTCCTAGCATGGTCTGCATGTCAGGTAAAATGAGGCACAATTCCATAACCCTGGTTTGGAGCTGTTACCATTGTAGGTGTTTGGGGTAAAACCCACCTCTGCAGGAGAGGGTATTACTGCAGTGGCTGATTTTCCTCACAGCACTACAGGTGATGCGAAAGCATAATTTTCCTGACTCCCATCAAAACTCATGGGGTTGAAATATTGTCTTAGGAGCCACGTGTCTAAAAATGTTTGTCAACATGGGCCTGCTTCAAACAGGATTTTTTTTTACTGTGTAGTCCTCCTAAATTCTCAACTTGCTTACTCTTCCCATCCTCCTTTATTTTTTCTTCTAAGGAAAGCTTAAGAGGAACTTACAGGACTAAAGTGCACATGCCTGGCACATGTAACAAGTCATAGCAACCAGAATATCCCCCCTACACACATGATTTTCTGAAATAAGGATGCGGTAGTGAGGTTGTCATAGAAACAGCTGCATTTGTCACCCCCAGAATAGCAAGAAAAGACCCTTGTTCCTCATTCAGAGAGGAACACAGCCGGGATGTGATCCTGAGGGGCCATCACTCCTGAGACAACAGGCAGCAGTGGGAATTAAAAGCACCGAGCATCCCAAAGGATGAGCTCTCATTCCGGTGCATCGTGAGGTTTTCAGTCTCACTTTACCACGCTTGATGCCTGTTCCTCTGAGCAACCAAAATGTACAAGTCCCACTGAAGCCTTTCTTCAGGCAAACTTTCTTTGCAGGAACTGTATTCAAAAGCTTTCAGTGAGATAAACTAGTTCTCATCCATTTGGTGATGAGCATGTTCCCAGAGAAGGGAGAGTGCAAAGCCTCTAGTAACAAAGGAGCTTGGAGTGAGAAGATACTGTAAGGTTGTGTCTTGAAGGCAACCTTCCTTTACAGGCTTTCATAAACCCTCTGGTTAATCGTGGGCTTAAGCGTTGGTTTAATAGCTTGCATGACAACGTCTCAAAGTACAGTTTGCTGACAATGTGGATTGGTCAAAGTCTGCTTGGGTACCTGGGAACATGAAATATTTTGTATCCGTTAACTTTATATACATGAAGTCTGAACAGAAGGACACATGGCAAATAGCGGATGGCCATTTTCCAACCAAACTTTAATAAACTTTCAAGATGATTATGTTCACCAAATGCTTCTTAGATACTAAATAATATCCAGTGATGTCATTAATGGCAAGTCCAGCTCAGGTTGTTTGTTCATGGACGTATTAACCACTGACCTTTCCCTATTCAGCCAGTTCTCCTCATTCCTGTACTGCCCTGCCACTTTGGACATGGAAAAGGGGATCTGATCTATGGAAACAAGCCTTGCAACCAGACCTGCAATCAGCCTGCAAACAACCCTTGTGTGAGGAATTGTTGGATCTGCTTTAAATGTTCTTCATTGCTCCTGTTCTCAGCCTGCTGTGGACCCAGTGTGCGACCCAGCTATTAGATACCTTCTAGGAATAAAACAGGCCATTAATGAGCACTGTACATGGCCATAAAGTTGTTACTGTGACTTTTATTACTGCCCAGACTGATGCTGGGATGCAATTTACTTAGAGGGGCCAGTAGAACTAAGAGACTGCCCAGAAATTTCTTGGAAAAATTGCTCAGAAAAAGATCTTAAAGTAATTTCCACTTGTCTACAGGTTATTTTGTAATTACACTGCAAATTACCTCAAACAGAATCCTGAAGAACAATAGAAAAAATTGCCTGTGTTCAGATATCCTTCTTTAAGACACAGCTGGTGTTACTGCCTGTCCTTGTGGCTATTTACCATATAGACTATACCTGTAGAATCCCTTTTTATTATTCTTTTCTATATTTACCATATAGATTGAATTAAAGATCAATATTTTAAGCAGGTATTGTTTGTATCATGTTTCAGGGGTCCAAAAGCAGAGACAGAGAGTCTTCTGAAAAATCTCACCTGGGCGTCTCAGTGCTGGTGTCTGCCACTTTGGTACTAAATTTTTTAGTGACCCGTGACACAGTACAAGGCTGAAATGATGAGACAAGTTGTTCTAAACTTCAGTCTTAGAGAAAATAAATTATTCATTATAAAAATAGTACACAAATATTATCTCCCATTTCCCTATAACCTTCTTTGCTCCCCTTGCAGAATGTCATCTGCTCTTAAGTAACAAATAAGTTTTGAATGGGTCTTCACTCCTGGTTTTTCTTGAAGTCCCTGTCCCAGACATGATGAGGGTATAATTTATTACACCATTAATTTCTTCCTTTACCTGTAGGCAGATGAGAAAACTCTCAGACTTTCCCGAAATTAAACCTTGTCTTCACAACCTGAAATCTCTCAGGATATTAAACAAAACAATTCTAATGTAGTCAAAAAGTCCACGCTTTTCATACAGATTAGTAGGTTAAGCTCAAGACAATTGGAAGCTGTAGCTCACCTGTGACCCTAGCTCACACAAGAGCCAGCTAAAACATCTTTTAAAATATTTCCTTGTAAATCCTCAGCTTAAAAATGAACTATGAAAAAATAATATGAAAACATATTTACATGCTAGAGCAGAGGCTTTAATTATTTTTTTAATCAGTAATTAAAGAAAAAATAATTACTGAAACTTGAAGCTATTCCATCTGATTCTCACTCTTCCAACTTGTTCATATTCATCTATTACCATGTGAATAGGGCAGTGATTACATTCCTGCCAATGTATTAGGTTCACTAGACCAGGATTTTCCTTGATTGGCCTAAAGCAAGGGCAGACTAATTTAATTCACAAAGGTAAATTAAACTGATAGGCTTTAATTAGGGAAAGCTCCATTTACAAGCCAATATGAGGCATAAGGTTATTTGTACTCAGCACAGTGGTAGAGAAGATGACAGCACTTTTCCTCTCTAACACAAACCTCTTGATTCAAAATAATAGTCCTGGGTCCTGGACTGCATGCTCTCCTCATCCCGTCTGCTATAATCATAACCCCAAATCCACTTTGATTCCACTTTTTTCTCTTTAGCTGGTGAGTAAGGCCAATTTGAACATGCTGCTCCTTTCCATACTTCCCAAAAGGTTTCTGTGAATTAGACTAAAGCCTGGTTCACCGTCTTATTTTCCCCCTCTATTTCATGTGTACACCTGGAGACATACAAGCAGCACCAGCTACAGGTTGCAGCTAAATGACCAAAACTCTTTTAACACCACAGCTCTGAATACTGGAACACCCTGTAAAGCATTTTATTCTTCTGGTGCAACTAAAGTCAGTTTAATACACAAATGTGCAGTGATGTAGCTGCATACAAGGTTTGCAATCCACCAATTAGGCTGTAAGATTTGAGCATGAACAACAGGCTAGAACATAGAATCATGTGGTTGGAAAAGACCACAAGATATATGCTGCCAAGAAGAAAGGTGCTGAAGATGTTTTAAGAAAGGAGAATGTTTTCAGCCTTCAAAAATAATCTTTAGTAACTGTTTTAAGTTCTGTGCACAGAAGAACATAGTAGAGCCACTTCTTTTTTTTTTTTTTTTAAATCTGCATGCCATTTCTCTCTAATAAGGATTCAACATCTGAATTATAAAAATACAATCATGAAGAGGAAATCTATGAAAAGAGCAAAACAAAACTCTTGAACACAAAACCTGTAAAGAGAAGCTTGGGTCAAAAGCCCTCACTGACGCAGCTGGTTTTCAAAGAAATGGTAGTAGCTTTTAGCAGGAGGGCAATTGCTGAATAGTGCTCTGCACATCCTGAGTTAAGGTAATACAAATAGCTGTCTGTGAGAAAAACAGATAGGCTAATGGCCTCTCCTGCTCTGGTTAACAGAGCAGGGCTATTCAGAAATGTATGCTGGCTAGGGGGGTTTTTTGGGTGTGTTTTGCTTTTTGAGGTGTTTTTTTTTTCTCTTTTATCAGCTGCTTTTTAAAAAGTAAAAAACTGCAATACAGGAAACCAGAACGGAACTCTGTTCCATGTCATCTTTTCCCCATTTTTTGATACGTCACCTATTTAACCAAGTGGCCTACTAAGCTAATGGATAGATGACTTTTTTTATGTTGCTCTACTGCAGTAGATGAATCTGATGTGTTCTCCATTACAGGTAATAGTTCAAGCACATGCCTTGCTCCCAGGGAATGGCTGGAACAGATCAGGAGCTCAATTCAACAGCTAAGTGCTTAAGTTGAAAGTCACGATTACTATTCACAAGCTGTTGAGGATTTTTTTTACTGAAAAAACCCTAAATTTATTGACCTGAAGGAAAAAAATCCTTGGACTCATTTTTAGATCACATAAGCAGGTGGCATGAATTGGGACAGGTTTTGCCAATAGTCGGATTGTGATCTAACCTACAAACTTTTTTTTAACTAATAATGTTTGAGCAGCTTAGTTTCCTTGCTGATCATGTGATCTTCTGTCAGGCAAGCAGTTTTATTGCTCTCATTTCAGGCTGCCTGAAAATGCTAGAAAGCTACATGTTTTATATCTACATCTGTGTATATTATTATTATCAATAAATAGTCACTCAACATATTCACTTATTAGCGTGAAAAGCCCAAATATTACATACTGTGCAAATTATGCATGTATGACATAGGTAAATTCTAAATGTAATGAATTACCTTTAAGCTGTGTTTTAAACTGACTAAACATCTGTACTCAGACTCAAAGCCTACCATGCTAATGCATTTTACCCCGAATAGAGGAAAATAACAGTCAATACAGTACTTCTGTGTATAATATTATCCATGTATTTTATATGAAAGATTCTAGACTGCATTTTTTCTTCTAGACTTTGCATAGTTAGTATAGAGATTACTGGTAACCTGCTAATTTAAGAACAACAGGATAGCGTGTGCGATGGGCCATGCACTTCTGCTTATCAATGAAAATACTGTTTGTTTTCACAGCTATTTCTTTTTCTAAGTTCATCCGTATGTCTTCCAGGTTCCTCAGAGACTGTTCAGATTCCAGCAGTTTTTTCTTCAGGGATTCAACAGACTCCGTTAGTGCTTCAGCTTCACTGATCAACCTGAACATTAAGTAATAAAAAAAGAGCAGAAGCCAGTCGGTGTTCAAAAGACAAATGAACTGTAATGGGAATAAAGATCAACAGCTATAGAATCATAATACTCAACAACAGAGGATCTCAGAGAGGTCCTACATACTTGGTGGAAAGCAGAGTTCACTTTCACAGCTTCTGTACAGAAGTCTCCCATGATTTAGGTAGTACCAAGAATGTCTTTTGCCCCACTAAGCACAGTGGAACTATCTGTCCTCACTTGGACTAAGAATTATAGGGCAGACATTGTTACATAAGCCATGCAGGACCAGCATTTTGTTAAGCCTGTTTCTTCATATCTGTTCACTGGTATAAAACTCAAGTATTAAAGATGATACTTGCATCAAAGATCAGAAAACGATCTTTACTTTAAAAGCGTGTAAGCTTTAAAGAAGCAGCAGCACACCATTTAAAAAAAAAAGGAGCAAACCATTTTCAAAGAAACACTAATTTGAACTGAAAGTCAGTGAGGGTTAGGTGCTTTACTGCAATCTGCCTGCAGAGAAGGCACATATTTACTTCCTGGGAAAACAAGATCCCTGTGTGCTATGCAAACTGAGTAACTACAAACCGTATAAGCCTGGCAATTACACACATGCCCATTCAGCAAAGGACTTGCTCATGTCCTTAAATCCCATTAAAGGCAAGGCACATACTGAAAAGCTTGCATGTGGATGGTTTGCTGAATCAGGACCTTAAATGAGTGTGCCTGAGATGGTACAAAGCGTTTGGGTTAACTGTAACTTCTTCCTCACTGTATAAAGAACAGACAATTGACTCTGAATTGTAGGCACCTTTCTACAAGGATACTGCAAGCCTGAAAAAGCCAATTCCCCACTTTTCCTAAGGGTAGCAAAATGTGAAGGGGGAGAATCAACTACAAAGCTTATAATGAGATCAAAACTGACAAATATGACACTCAGGCCTTTAATTCAAGGGGATTTGTTGACCGCCAGTTTTATAATGGATTATTACTGAAAATCAGATGCCACCAGCCCAATGCTTTGTTGCACTGAGGACTTGTCTCCAACTATGACTATGTGCAGCCCATTTACATTCTCAGCACTTGAAGCACAATTCATTCGGCACATAGTCCACCTTGTGGTGAACTTTTGCTAACAGCAAAAGGGCTGCAAGTGATCCATATATGCTGGCAGATTTTTTTGGATCACCTGAATCAAAAAGAAACCACACAGTTCAGAGAAGAAAGTGTAGAGAGAAAAGGCAGAGTTGAGTCTCTAGGTTTTCTATTTGGCAATAACTTAGGTTAAAATGTTATTTTCCTCACAGTGATTTCAGTCCATTGAATTATTTCTGACTTACATCAGGTTAAAACCTAGCTATAGAAGCTGAAGGCTATGTGTTGCCAATAAAGAGTGCAAAACCTGTCTGATATGACTTCTGGATAGAATGGACACCTTGGAGGGCTTGTTTAATAGCATTTACCTGAATTGTGCTTCATCTCTGCAGAGCTCTACATTGGGCCTAAAAGACCTGTCATACAGCCTTGTTTGAGCAACTTTCATTGGGGCTTCTTTGTCTTTGATAGCTTGTTTGAGAGCAGCAATGTTAGCTTCCTGATCTCCAATCTCCTTAAGGACCTAAAGAGGATAACCAAGAAAAAGAACTGTTTTAAAAAAGAAATGAGTTGCCTCCATGCATGCTATAAATCTGTTCATGGTCCTAGCAAATCAGTTATAGTTTTGTCCTCCTGTTTGGCCGGAATATAGAAGAAATATAAGTACATAGGTGGTTTTTGACCTCTTTATTTCTACTACTACACTGAGAATCTGGTCCTCGATCTAAAAAAAAAAAACAAACCAGAAAGTATTCTGCAGCCTGTTCAAAAACTCTTCCATGTTTCCTGACAACACATCCCACCTCCATGAATTGCTTTTAATTCTAATTTTTTAACTGCAAGTTATCCAAGAAAAATTCAAGTTATTTTGAATGACATTGAGAACTGCTGATCAACTTGGAAATGCACAGATTTCTGGCATTAGTGAAGAAAATGGAAAAGACAGGAAATTCTGACTCCCTTCTCCCACATAACCACTGACACACATGCAAAAAATAAAGTCTACCCAGCTGTCATTACCCAATGGGTGCTAAGGAATGACAGTTTTTTCCACACTTGCCAGCGGCCTAACGCAGAAGCAGGAGCTGCTCTACATTGGAGAAGGGGCAGAGGCTGAAAACACCTCTTGTCACTTGCCAGGAACTGCTGCTGTTGCTACTGCTGCAGCACAGCATGGGTTTCATTCCATAAAAGCGATAACCAGGCTAGCCTGGGAATCTTGGCCCAAAGACCAGCTCCTTGATCACACAGTTTCAGGTTTTAGTTCAGCAAGACATGGAAGAAAGTGTTTCATTTTCTTCATATTTAAGTCTATCTCTTGTTTAGAGAACCACAACAGATATCAGAAAAAGCTGAATTGGTGTCACAATCCAGCTCTGAAGACTCTTATCAGATACAAAGCTGACACAAAATAGTGTTTGATACCTGACATGAACTAAGACATTTTTTCTAGAGGATAAATCTACTGTGATCTTCTCAAAAGAGATTATCATGCCTGTAGCCAGCATTCAAAAAATAACACTTACTTTTTTCAAATGATACTCTAGTTTGTGTTTTGTATCATACAGCTCCTCACAGCGTTTGGCAAAAGCCTCATTAACAGCAGCACATTGCGTCCTCAGGTCCTCAGATACATCATGAAGAATATTGTCAATCAAGGCACGAAGATTGATGGACGCCAGTTTTTCTCGTTCTGCTCTAAAGATGTTGTCATGACTGAACTTGGCCCACGTCTCTGGTGTTGAGGCGCTGGAAGAGGTGAATGGTATACAAATAGGAACCTTGCTCTTTTGTTCAAGTTGCACTTAAAGACAATCTGAAGCTGGTTCTTTCCCTGCAAAAGTGTGGTCAACCTCTACTTGTTTTTGCTGTTGCATGCAGTCTAGACTTATCAGGAAGGAAGAAGACTAATCCTTTATAAAATTAATAAACTCTCATTCATCTTGTGGCTTCTGAAGGAAGCAATACATGACACAAAAATCATCCAGTTCTTCCATTTTTAGCTAATACTACTAAGGCAAAAAAAGTATGAACGTACTTTTTTGTGCAAACACAAGCAGTTAAGTCACCAGCAAATAAAGACATGAATATATTCAAGTTTTACCGTCTGTGCCTACTTTGAAACAAAAAGAAACAAGATCTCTGGTTATACTTTGACAGGTTGAGCAGCAAAAGGAACTACATAGCACTTGGGACACCACATCACACGATACTGTCTGAAAGGGGAGAGGGAAGCAGCAAGATTTATTGTAATAGTAATCCTCTCTGTGTACAGGAAGCAGCACTTGCCTTTCCTGAAAGAATGGCATGCATGCCGATGTCAAACGGTAAGCCTCAGTAGGATTTAGATCAGCCTTTAAAAGTATAAATCCAATTATTTCCAAGAAAAACTTCTACAAGCTCAGTCTGCATATAGTGAACTAACCTTGCCATCCGTGGTATGCCATGTTGAGATGGTAGCGCTACCTTTACTGTCCATTTAGCTATTTTAAAGCTATGACATTGTATGTCCAAAGAAGCAGCAATCACACCTTTAATTCAGAGCAATATTACAGCCTTCACTGATGCAAAGGATGTACTGTATCTTACCAGGGTTATTTGTGGAGGATAATGACAGTAACTGCTCACCTCTCTTCAAACTTCACTGAACTAGGATGGAACTGGATGTTGGTGCTCTGGTTACTGTATCTTCCACATTTATCATCGATGTTGTACGTTTCAACTTTGTCTGACCAGTCCATTTCACAAACCTCTTTGTGATCTCGATTTAATCTGAAAAGTCATTATTATCACACACTGTTAGTGGAAAACAATACAATTAACAAAACTATCACAGACATTTGTGAAGCTAGGCCCTGAGCCTTTGTCTTGCAAAGAGCAATGAGAACACAAACTTTCCTTTTTGCCATGAAAATCCTAACCGAAGTCTCTCCCCCTCAACTACCTGCTAGAAGGACAGTAAGCCTGATGTGTTAACCACTACCCTAGGCCTTCAGTACAGTTCTGTGCCTACGGAAGGCTTAGAGCTCTATAGCCTAAGACAAAGGAATTGTTAGACTTTGGATTTTACATAATAATCCTAAAACACAGAGGATTTTTTCAATAGTGGCGACAGCTGTCATTATTATGGGGAGAACAGGTAGGAAGTTTGCCCAACAGAACACTCTTCCCATGGTAAGACATCAGGTAGTGCTAATAGAAGACCCATCCTCTTCTTTTGCTAGTATATCAAGTGTGACTCAAATTTGAGACCTCCATAAAGTGACCCTTTATCATTCTCTGAGCCCTCCTATCTAGCCTTCCAAAGACTGTAGCATGCGGACAGTGTAATTTGTCCTTGGAGGATACAAGTACAATGACAGAGTTAAAACTGCTGCTTTCCTGTCAATTGAGTGAGTCACATGTCACCCAATTACTTAGAATTATTTCTATTTTGTTAGATTACAAAAGACAGTGGGTTGTTATCAACTGTTGACACCAGATGTCACTCTCACCTAAGGAATTAAAGAGACTCAGCTGGCCAAAAATACTAAACAATGGTACTAAAATGATCTTAAAACAATTATAAAAAGCAAAGCCTAAACTCAGTAGACTCCTCTCATGCTCTAATTGATGTACAGAACTACTTGAAATGATTTTCCATTTATAGACATTCCGTCTAAAAACAGTATTACATTTTATCTGGTAGAATAGCACAAATTGGAGCAGATTAAAGAATTTTTAGAACTAAATTATCAAGGTTTCCAGCAGCTAACTCCTTCATATTGATGTACCTTAGGATTCAGGTAACAACTTTCCAAAGGGCTTGTTTTTCATTAAAAGCAAATATTCCTTCTGAAATGCAATAAACTTCCATACTGATACAGAAGGTAGAGTGAAGTTTCATATTTTAAGATCATACTGACATCTAGCGGCAAAAAAACTCATCTTGAAAAGATCCTTTGATCAGATAAATCATTTTAAAAGAGCCCATACTACAAATATATCACAAGGTGCAACAAGGTAGAGCGATATCCAGATAATACTTTTATTGCACTTAAGTTTAATACTGGAAAATTAGAGAACTGAATACACATACTGGAAAGCAGGACTGAAAATCTAAAGCATGGCTTTAGGGCATGGCTCTTCTCTTACCTTACCCTCCTTGAAAATCCTGACATTTCATCACTGAGTACCTCTTTTCAGGTTTAAACTGAATTCACACAGCTCACAAACCTGGCATTAGTAAGATCTTTATCCACTGGGCATTATACCTCTATATACCAGGAATTACTTGGCTATATAAATTAAGTATCATGAAAAACGTCTTACCGCATCTGGTTACCAGCTTGCATCAGAGTTCTTTTCAAAAGCTCCTGGATATTTCTGATAAGTTCAGCTTCCTAGATAAAAACATTGAGACTTCTGTGATACCCAGAGCAGTGCATACTATCCTGCAAAGCAATTAAATTTCAATGGTTGTGGTTAAATACTTAAACCTTCTGCTCTTTACCCATCCGTAGCCTACTATTGCAAGACATGGTTTTCCAAGGAGTTAGCAGATACTGAGGTAACTCAGCTGTAAGTCTAAGGCAGCAGCAATACTTGGAATACCGGGGATTCATTATTTTTATATTGCATGTGTATTTTATGAAAAAGTCTATGTTCCATCAGATTAACCAGACTACCTGAATTACTTGCACAGCCTTGAAGTATGGAAAAGTAAGGCAACAGCATCATGCTCGGGAGGAGATCGAGTCCCTGCCTTGCACAAACACAAGGTGCCATTTTAAAACCGAGCAGGACACTGTCTGCCCTGCAAGCACAAACTCAGATGTCAGAGGCTGGGGCCACACACAGGGATGTCACACAGCAGATCAGCTTCTCTGGCAAGACACTGGCTTCCAGAATCTGCTGAGTCCTTGCAGATACCTTCAGAGCTCACTGCCTTGCTCTGTAGTAAGCATTTTATCTGTATGCAAGGCAGAGGCTTCCCATCAGATTCCTGAAGATACCAAAAAATACAGTTTTGTCTGACATATGGTGATAAGGTGCTATTTAACATAAAGGAGTGGCAGTATCATCATCTTTGGTTGGCCTGCCTCCTTTGAATGCTTTGTATTAACTAAAAATAGAAGTTTCTACTCTATGATTTAAACAGCTATTGTCTGCTTCAGCAGGTATAGGGGAGCTGTCATAATATAAACCCAAAGACATTTGCAGCTTTAAATTTTTTATTAGATCTATTTATTCCAGAACTCATTTTGCCTCTGGTGAGGGACAGCATTGAAGACTGCAGAATTATCTCAAACACACAATATTGTTTGAGGGGTTCATTTCCTCTGAGCTGCAAGACGGTGACTGCTCAAAGTCACAAAGCTTTGCCTCACCTTGATAATGGATCTGATGTCTGAAGTTTCAGCTCAAGCTGGTAATGTGATCAAACCAGAAAAAGACCATACTTTCTAATAACCTCTTGTTGAACAAAAAGTACCTGGTGCTCATTTTTTAGCACAATAACGCTGCTTTGGGATTAACTATCAATGTTCTATGAAGTGACTTTACTGACCTGGTGATTACATATTATTGTATAAAAGCCAGCAAGCATTTTCTTTAATTTATTATTTCTTTAATTTAATATTTGAGGCTCAGATATTAAAAAGAGCTTTTGTATATGAAAAACTCTTAATTAATTTTGCTGTTTTACATCAATGACAGTCATCCAATGACAGCTAAGGGAGTATATTCTTACTAATAAACTTTATTCCCAAAACACTGCTGGCACTCGTTGATCCTTGTACTGTTTTTGACAAATGAATGACCGCGTATGTCCCTGCAGTGTCCATTTCTCCACCATATGAAATCAACAGGGACCATTAAAAAGTTCATTTTATTCTAAGTGGAAAAGGACAATCATGATTGGAAAGAAAAAAATATTTTTAAGGCTCTAAAAGAGCACAACTAAATAAATACATAGCTGAAGGTGTCATTTTACAAGCTGTGAGAAAACTAAAACTCACTTTCTGCAGGGAGGAAGTATTACAATGGCTGAGTTGTCAAAGTAAAAATTCAAAAGGCTTTTGAAGTGTTAGAAAGACACAGCACTTTAAATTACATTTATAGTAATTGATATTGTGTTGGCATCAGTCTCCATGTAAATGAAGATAGCCAGTTTCCTATAACATGCACAATTTTAAATTAGAAAAGCCTTCCTTTAGCAATTAAGGTCTCTCACATGGAGTGAAATAATGCAAAAATAAAGAATTCCCTTGTTGAATGACCTAAAATAAAATTTAAAAATGGATTCCCTGTTGAGGAGATATGCATTCAGATATGATATTTAAAACTGAAGATACAGTTCTCATAATGGGAGTCTAAGACTAGTTAGAGTGAATAAGCAGGCATAAATGAGAATGAATTTTCAATGCTTATCTACTAAATGATTTTTCTTAACTCTTAAAACAGTTAAAAAGTCAGATCATATGGCTGTGAGGAGCTGTAGCACTAGGTTGAAGATGAAGATCCTTTGATCTAGGTCCCTCAGTCCTGGCTGTACTGTTAGACATCACGGTGCAATCCAGCCTCCTGCCCACCCGTAGCTGTGGCTGGCTCGTGGGATTGACGTGTGAGAAGGTCCACACCACCTGACCACCTGCCAGGGAGCACAAAGCGGAGCAGGAGCTGGGAATCTCATACACCACATGGAGGATTTAGGAAATGCCATGTTTGCTCCTTTGCGTTTTCTTTGCAGAGACAATTCCATCAACAGTCGAGAGAGCTGCAGCCAGGAGCACAGCTCTCCCAGACTTTGTGGGTGATTCCACATTAAAATCCTGGAGGCAGATCTGGGTTTTAGCAAGTGGCAGAGTAGATTACCTTTACATAGTGTGTACACAGAATTGTGTGGGCAATTCATTTGAAGGCCCAGTCTGCATTAAGAGAGTAGACAGTCCTTTATGGGAAGAAAAGGAGAGTCTCAAGTTTGTTGAAGTCACACTGTTAGAAATACCATCTGTCTGTGCACCCCCCACTTGCCTGGAGCTGTCACCTCATGCAGGTGTCACATGACCACATTGTACTGTTCATTGCGTTGTTCTGCTGGACGTTTAAAATGATGGTTTGTGTTGAGACACCGTAGTAGTGTTGGATCACCACCTCTTCATGAACCTTGGCCAGACTACAGCATCAGACTCAGTAGTAAAAGATAATGGCAGAGACAGCCAGATTTGGACAGCTTGAGCATGGAAATGGGTTCAGGACCAGATTCACTGGTCCTGAATAGTCTGCTCATTGGGTACTGCATTTTTAAAGTGTAACCTGCAGAGATGAGAGGACTTTAAGCCAAGTGGAGGCTGGAAGAAGGTTAATGCCAGAATAGGATGCCCACCTTGCTTCAGTAAACCTCTGGTTTGATTTTGTTTGTATCTGGTCTGAGAGGGGGGATCTGGTCTCCTTTAGTCATACTCATGTGATTTTAAAAACTTTTTAAACAGAGGAAGGATTTTATATAATCCTTCTTAAATCTAGTAGTGACAGAGTCCAGGCTGCCAGGAAGGGGCACTAGGCCCCTGTGCATTGCCAGGAGCACAGCTCTTCCAGACTTTGTGGGTGATTCCACATTAAAATCCTCATGAGCTGCAGATATCACCTACTGACCAAGCTGTTCACCATTTAGAGACCAGAGCAGCACTAAGAGAGGGCTGCCAACAACCCGTAACATCCTAATGTCCTGCTCACCTTCAGCAACTCTCTCTCCACCTCATCACTGACCAGGTCCGGGGGCTGCCTCCTCTCCCGACACTGCAGGTTATCAGTGGCAATGGCATAGGGCACCTCGGTGGCATCAAGCGCCCTTTCCAGTCGCAGCTTCTGGGCTGCCAGCAGACCGGTCTCAGCATCGAGGTCCTCAATCTCCTTCTGGAGCTCGGCCTTCCAGAAGTGTATGTCCTGCAGGCGCTGGCCCAGGGTGGCTGTGGAGTCCTGCTGGGCACGCTGGGCAGCGGCAGCAGCATGTTCAGCCAGCTCCTTGGCCTCAGCCCGGCCGCGCTCAGCCTGCTCACAGCC